TCTCCGTGCTTTTCATGCGTCTAACAGTAGTATTGATAGACAGCGGTACACGGAGGCGTGGTCGTTATATAAACAACTTTGTTCGTCTCAACGGTTTCTTGAGTTTCAAAACTATGTTGATAAACTGAATAGTGCTCTAGAGGAATGAAAAGCAAACTATTCTGGAAAACTCTAAAACAAAAGACATACGTGGGATTTAGTCATATTAAGCACTCCGAGTGGGCTCAATGGGCTTCAAACTTCCCAGACTGAAGTTGAGTTCTATGATGTTGTAAAATCTTATGTTGATTCTATTGATAAAAATCTTGTTTTATCAACTGTAGATGATGACTTCCTTGACAAGGAAATATCTATCCAGGAGGTTACTGATGTTATATCTGGTATGCAGTCTGGTAAAGGCCCAGGTTTCAGTGGTATTAGTATCAAGTTTTTCAAGAATGTCGCCGAACAGTGTATATATATGCTACAGTTTCTGTTTAATGCAATTTTATATTCGGGCACGTATCCGTCTGACTGGACGTTAGGTATTATATTACCCTTGCATAAGAAGGGCAGTTCTAGTCTACCAGCTAATTATCGTCCTATTACATTATTGGAAGTTTCTGGGAAGATTCTTGCTGAAGTTATTAGTAATAGGTTGTATAGATGGGGAGAGCAGGAACAGTTTTTCACTCCGGAACAAGCAGGTTTTAGACGTGGATTCCAAACTACTGATAATATCTTTATTTCAAACACAGCTATCAATAAATATCTCTCGTTGTATAAGGGTCGCCTTTACTGTGCCTTCATTGACCTGAAAGCAGCTTTTGATTCTGTAGACAGGACAAGTCTTTTATTCAAACTCTGGTCCGGTAATGTTAAAGGCAGAATGTATAATTTATTAAGAAATATGTATATAAAAGTAAAGGCATGTGTCTCGCTTGAAAAGGGTTACACTCCATTCTTTGATTGTGCATATAGGGTACGTCAAGGATGCCAGTTATCTCCATTTTTGTTTTGTTTTTTTTATCAATGATTTGGTGGAATTTCTAGCCATAAACGGTCAAAGATGTATAAGTTTAGACTTAATTGAGTTGTTTATTTTTGCTTTTCGCAGACGACATTGTTTTGTTTGTCACTACACCATTGTGATTGCAAATTAGAATTAACAAACAAGATTCCTATTGTCAGATAAAAGTAAAGTTATTGTATTTAGAAAAGCTGGGAGATTGAGGAAATATGAGAAATTTAATTTGGGTAGAGAAAACCTAGAAATCGTTAAATCGTATAAATACTTGGGCTTTCTTTTTTTTAGTTCTGGCAGTTGGTATATTACACAGAAAATATTAGCTGAACAGGCATGGAAAGTGTTATCATTTGCTAGATCATCAATTAAGGATTTTTATAGTTTACCACTTAAGGTCTTATTGCATATTTTTTATGTAAAAATTGTACCTATTTTGTTATATGGAGCCGAAGTTTGGGGTTTTCACTCTTCGCCTAATAGTCTTCATGTTCAGGATAAGTTTTGTAAACAAATACTAAGACTTTCTGTCTCGACTCCGAACATTGTAGCTCGTGATGAGCTTTACAGGTACTCTTTGAATGTCAATAAACACATTAAGATAGTTAAATATTGGATGAGGTGCATAAGGCAAAGGGAAAATATAATATTGTACAATGTATATAGATATCAGTATAGTTAAGCAGAGAAAAATTTAGATTGCTGGGCACTAAAAGTAAAAAATCTATTGTTCACTTATGGTTTTGGACAGGTATGGATGGAACAGCGTGTTGTCAATGTCCAACAATTTCTAGTTGAGTTTAAACAAAGATGTATTGACATTGACGTTCAAAATTGGCTAACAGACTTTGGTAAATATTCTAAACTTGAAATGTACAGACAAATTAAGGTGCAGTTAAGCGAAGAAGATTATTTTAATGTAATTAATGTAAAAGCTTATTGCATAGCATTATGCAAGTTCCGCTGTTCCAACCACGGCCTAATGATTGAGTACGGTCGACGTCTCAAACTTGACCGTAAGAATCGCCTTTGTCCCTTTTGTGTAATACCTAATATTGAATCAGAACTACATTTTTGTCTTGAATGTCCATTTTATCAGGACTTAAAAGAAAGTCTTATTCTAGAATTTTATTATAAATTCCCATGTAACAATAAGCTTATTTTATTATTCACATCACGGAAAATCACGGTCATAAATAATTTGGCTAAATTTATCTTTTTAGCTTTAAAGAAACGTAGTAAATATTTTGCATAATATGGATGTCCATCATTTGATATTTGTATAAACAGAGACTGTAATCATATTATATGGCGCGTCAGCGCTTATTATGTCAAGTTTCATTATAATGGGCCGGTGGCGCCTTTACCGTAATAAACACACTCTCTCACAAATGAGGACGAAAAACAGAAATACAAGACCGTGAGCAAGTATATGAGTATACATGTATGTGGTCTGTTTACATCTACACATAATGTGTAACATGAGATAGTGAGCAGGCAAATATGTGCATGTATTCCGTTTACATCTACACATTATGTGTAACATAAGGTAGTGAGCAGGCAAATAAGTGCATGTATTCCGTTTACATCTACACATTATGTGTAACATAAGGTAGTGAGCAGGCAAATAAGTGCATGTATTCCGTTTACATATACACATTATGTGTAACATAAGGTAGTGAGCAGGCAAATAAGTGCATCTATTCCGTTTACATCTACACATAATGTGTACCATAAGGTAGTGAGCAGGCAAATAAGTGCATGTATTCCGTTTACATCTACACATAATGTGTACCATAAGGTAGTGAGCAGGCAAATAAGTGCATGTATTCCGTTTACATCTACACATTATGTGTAACATAAGGTAGTGAGCAGGCAAATATATGCATGTATTCCGTTTACATCTACACATTATGTGTACCATAAGGTAGTGAGCAGGCAAATAAGTGCATGTATTCCGTTTACATCTACACATTATGTGTAACATAAGGTAGTGAACAGGCAAATAAGTGCATGTATTCCGTTTACATCTACACATTATGTGTAACATAAGGTAGTGAGCAGGCAAATATGTGCATGTATTCCGTTTACATCTACACATTATGTGTAACATAAGGTAGTGAGCAGGCAAATATGTGAATGTATTCCGTTTACATCTACACATTATGTGTAACATAAGGTAGTGAGCAGGCAAATATGTGCATGTATTCCGTTTACATCTACACATTATGTGTAACATAAGGTAGTGAGCAGGCAAATATGTGAATGTATTCCGTTTACATCTACACATTATGTGTAACATAAGGTAGTGAGCAGGCAAATAAGTGCATGTTTTCCGTTTACATATACACATTATATGTAACATAAGGTCATGAGCAGGTATATACGTGTTTGTGCTCCGTCAACCCATCATGCATTAGGTGGATATCAACGGAGATGATTAAGCTAGCAACGCACAATTGAGGATCTTGAAATTAATATTTTGGACCCAAACTACACTTTATACAACCCAGTGAACATTTACTTTCTTGTAAACCAGTCGGGATTACACTGTATGTCATCTATTTGAACATTTTATCTTGGTGAAATTGTAGTAGTAGTAGTAGTAGTAGTAGTAGTAGTAGTAGTAGTAGTAGTAGTAGAAGTACACTAAAATCTAAGGATTTGAACAAAATATGTCATCATTAGGAGAAAGACATATTCCAAAGATTGGTTTCCACATGATGGTACTTTCAAGGGAAGATAGCCAATATATAGTACTTGAGTGTATGGTCAAAGTGCTGTCAAAATCTAAAATACTGCAATAAAATATAGCGAAAAAAAACATATGTGTCAAGTTCCACAACTAACTACAATGAGTAATGACTAAAGGACGTTTCAGTTTAATCGAAGTGCAAATTATCAAATCATTGTCAAAATTAAATCGCAGAGAAAAACGGTACATAAATGTTGAGCCAAACTAAAATCCCAAATCTCATTACACTTTGAACAAATTGGGGTGTAAGTATTCGTGGGAAGTTTCAGCTATATTGGCCAAGTGGCTGCTAAGAAATTTATGTTTATGAAAGAAGATGGAACAACAGCACACGAAATAAGCTCACTTGATTTTCAGGAGGACAGACAAAGTGCCTTATTGTGGTTTAACATACCAATGCTCAACCGGCACGGTATTTCTGTTTCTTGTAATAGTTCACAAATACTTGTCCCAAAATTCACAAGAGATGATGTGCTTGAAGAATGCCACGGATGTAAACACTATACATCATACGTGTACGTCTCTTGAATGAAAAGAAAGTTATAAATAATGGATTCCCCATACTGCTAAAAACTTTCCAGTCTGTTATATACCGAGTTTAAAGACTATGTGAATGACATGATGGCACATCACCCTTGCGATCGTCCTACAGCCATTGGGTTCTAGCTATTATCTTTTATCTATTACATCAACTCTAATGTCGTGAAATACTATTTTATGAAAAAATGTAAGTTATACATGGTATCTCTTAGATCGCGTACGCAAATATCCGAATGGAAAAGCCAATGGACTCAAAGGCGAGAAACATTTTCAGCAAATCAGCGAGACTTGTTCTGCAGCATCTTTTGTTGCTTCCCGTGACATCGGATTCGCTTGTTGTTAGCTTTGGGCAGTATCAGTATCTTGGGTCCATAAAACATCATATTGCCCTCACGAATGGAAACTTGTTCTTAGTCTCAGACAAATTGTCTAACTCTGTATTGTTTCGTTGTGTATAAGTTATCATTCATGTAGAAACGAGAAAACGAACATGTGCAAAGGGTGAAACAATTTCTCAAAAGAAAGACATTCGGATGACGAAAATTTCAAAAGCCATGCCAAGGATTTGAAGCATTTAATATAAATAAGACACAAGATTTAACAACGAGGCAGAAATTACTTGCATGGTAATTCTGGTAAGAGAACCTGTATAGAGCAAATATTCTTTGCAATAGCGTTTCCGCAAGACATTTGTTGACTTACCTGATTTGAAGTAGAAGGTATTTGACGTTTTACAGTCGGAACGGCGTTTGCAGAAAACTGACCCGTTTATTGGAAAGACTCCCAATTCAAGTTTGGATTCGTTTCTGGTCATTTCAGGTATCACTATTGGTTGCCCTTCAAAGACCTAAAAATGATATGTTAATTTCGAAATTACGTCTGCTGTGTACAAGTGCAGATAGTCTGCCTCTTTTGAGTAAAGAAAAATGTTAAGAGCCTGGTTTCGGTTCCCTCGATCCTGTACTTTTTCTTTTGCCTGGAATGGCCTAAATTGGTCAATCGTCAACGACTTGGGTTTGTTGCTAGCTTTTCCATTGTCTGCTAATCACTGACTGACTTCTACCACTTTCCAGCATATCCGCGCGTTGTAGATGCCGTATCGTTAGTTCAAACAATACCTATGAATGACATTAAGTAAATCACAACTGTATGAAGAGCAGTTTCTAGGTTGGGTAACTTGTATCCAATCCATTTCACAATTGTGAATAAAATATGTTCAAACCAGTCTGCAATATAATGCAGCTATATGTCTTTCTCCATCTACTTTAATAATCGACAACATACTTTCAGTTTGATGGCATCACTCTCGAAAAACTCCCAAATATTTAAAAAAAACACAACAAAATCTATAAGGTCAAGGTCACATTCCACTCACCCAGGGTGTTCAAATGTGTTCTATTATGCTAAAAAGTCCGGGATATTATTATTGCACTCAAAATACATAATATTCATGATACATCAAGAAACCATAAACATTGTGTACATACGAAGTGGTAAGGTTACCGTCATTGAAAGTCAAGGTCACTGGAATTGTTATGGGTAAGGTAGTTCTGCTTCTTTGCGTACTGTAATACAGCAAATGATCTCCTCTGTTAATTCACACTGCCTTATTCACTCTTTATTTCCTGCACATACCCTGTCTATGTTAATGTTAAATGCTCCATCTCCTAAAACTATGAGGCCTATGACTTTTTTTCTCGTAAATCATGTATCATTATATGATTTGCTGTTATCCGTATGAATCACTGACTTGTGTATATGCACGACTGAGTTCAGTGTATGCACAACTGAGCTGCATGCATGACTGACTTGTGTATATGCACGTCCGAGTTAAGTGTATGCACAACTGAGCTGCATGCATGACTGACTTGTGTATATGCACGTCCGAGTTAAGTGTATGCACAACTGAGCTGCATGCATGACTGAGATGTGTGTATGCACGACTGAGTTCAGTGTATGCACAACTGAGCTGCATGCGTGACTGAGTTGTGTGTATGTATGGCTTAGTTGTGTGCATGCACGACGGAGTTCTGTTTATGCATGGCTTCGTTGTGTATATGCATGACGGAGTTTGTGTTTGCATGGCTGAGTTATGTGTATGCATGACTGAGTTGTGTGTGTGCTTGACTGAGTTCTATGTATGTATTGCTGAGTTTTGTGTATGTGTGGCAGTTACAGGTTTTGTTTGACTGTCAACTAACCAGTAAATCACTTGGTGTCAGTATTAGTATATAGTATATATAATACATAGTGTAGTGAGTATTAACATTAGTTATTAGTATTAGTATTAATATTAGTATAAGTATATTTAGTATAAGTTTGCAGTATTAGTTTGCAGTATTAGTTTAGGGATTTTAATGAAGAGGTGATACTACGCCTTTTTACTTAGTTATGCTTGGGTCAGGCACTACCCTATCAGCTCCATTGTGTCAGCCAGGGCAAGTGTTCTGGTTGAGTGGTTTATCCTATTGTTTTCCTCAGGGTCAGCTTTGCATTCTTTTTAACCCTCACTTGCACCTCAGTCACAACACTGACAAGTCACTGACAGACGACAGCAAGTGGGCACATGTTACAGATTATATAAAGTGAAGGTATGTTTCCAATTAAATACGCAGACATATATAAACCTATCTTTTCATAAATAAGATCATATAAATATGTGTACGTTAAATAAGGTATTTGTTATGATGTGTGAGAGATTAAGTCAATGTCTGATTCTCCTGGACAGGGTGTTGTTTGAATATGTTTATTAGGCTATTATCATATATGTGTTAAATGTATTGTAAGTGTGTGGACATTTATGATAGTTTTAGGATGTTTAGTAATTTATTTATTTATAGTGCTATGTTCAGATCTGTAAATATGATCCTAATGAAGTATCATGCTCTTATTTTAATTGTCATACTTTACAAGATTCTTATTGAGTGTTATCGTGCATTTCAGGGTGTAAAAAGCATAACACACATACTCGTCATCAAATAAAACGAATCACACAAGTAGCCGTGTTGTCACATCATTCAGCGATGCACGTGCAATCAGCTACAAAGTGGAGCCCCCAGCGAGGACCTTGATGATTGAGTGTGAATCCAACAACTAAATGTGGATGAGAACAGTGATGGTTTGCCCGGGATGCAATAGTGTTTGAATAGTGGATTATTCCAGTCTTTCGCGTTATCTAACATACGTATTGTCATATAAGCGTACGCGTTATTATGTTTGTCGTGACATGATTAGTGTCCCATGCTTTGGTATACCATGGTTCATTACAGTCATGCTGGCATATTACAAGTTTGTTAGTTTCAAGTTTAGTTTGAATGTGTCTTGTGTTGTGTGGGTGAGTAACTAAATTATTAACTTTCGCTCAAAAGAAAAGAAACACAAACCTAACTTACCCTAAAGCTACGTAGTATACGTTCCCTTATATAGGCATGTAGGTTTCCTTATTGTTTTTTCATTACCATTGACAACAGACAGAACACTTAACTGAACAGGCAATATGGCACGTCATAATCACTCATAATGCATACTAACGTTTGCTATTTAATAATTTAGTATTGTTTTGGCTCATGTATATCTAATGGGATTATTGTTTTACAGTTGGCCCTTAGTTATTGGTTAGTCACTGGGGTTGAACTCAAGTTGGATATATATATCACGGTACAGTATCATATTCATTCAGTATTACTGGTGTTATATTTAGTAGTAGTTGGATATTTAACCTTGCATTAGTTAGCCATGAAGTAACACATTCAGAAGTCACATTAAGTAATAAGTAATAAGTGACTTATTCATGTACAGTTACTTAGTACTACTTATACCTACCTTACATGGTGTTTCCGTTTCAGATATCATGCCATCATTACAATGTGTTGCTGTCGCATGTACAACTGCATTACACTTCCATAACCACAAGAGGGTGATGAGGTGAAGTAATTGATTTTAATAAGTGACAGTGTAATGTTGTGATAGTTCCTTAAGAGGTGGTAATATCGGGTCATAAAAGGTAACTTTTGAAACTGCTTTCACATTAACTGTTCTATACTTACACTGTACAGAGTACTATAGTTGGACGTCAACTATGTTTACTTAAACCATTTTAAACCAAATTTAAACACAAACCGTACACAGGTACACACTGTGCGTCTACTGTGTGTTGTCACTGTTTTACACTCTGCGTGGTTTTCAGTTGTGTTTTAGTCGTTGACTCTGATAGTCATTGTGAACAATTCGTCTCGAGAGTCTTGGACAAGTGTTTATTTATAAGGATGGAACTCACCGGTGATGAATTGAATATTGTAATGACATTCTAGAAGTTAGGTGTTAAACCCAAGGCAGACACCCCAGAGGACTTTGCAGCATGGATGAAGCAATACTCTGCAGTCGAATCAGAGGAGGAATCCAAGGAGGGAATAGCCTAAGCTACAGCTCCAAAGCCACCATCAGGCATGCCTACCTACATGTATCAGAAGTTTCCCAGACATCCATATTTGAGCGGTGACAAATCTGGCAAAGACACATCTTTTGAAGTCTGGAGATATCATGTAGATTGTCTCATTAAAAACACGGTTTATTCCCCTGAGGCTTAATACCTCTAAAGACCAAACTGTAAGAGATTCCTTAGGGGGAGGCGGCCAGGATTGCCGTTCACATGCAACCAGGCGTCAGTTCCACTGACTTACTTAGAAAGTTCAAGAGCGTGTTTTGTGTCGTGGAGAGGAGAGAGTGCAGTATGGCACTCTTCTACAGCGCTAGGCAGGAAGAGAAAGAGGATGTTTCTGTATGGAACTGTAGACTAGAGGAACTTCTTTCAAGGGCCATGAGGGATAACTCCATCACGTATGAGACACGGGGTGAGATGCTCCATATTATGCTGTGGACTGGACTTAAATCCTCTTTGAAAAATATATATGGCCACACGCTTGACAGCATCCATAACTTTGTGGACTTACTGGAAGCACTCCGTGAGAACGAGGCAGATCAACATAGCGCCACATAAGCTAGCCAACAGAAACAGGCCTGTACTACCAAGAGAACCTGAACCAAAATGGAAGAAGGAAATGTCTGATATGAAGACTATCATACACAAAGAGGACAGAGTTGGAGAACCTTCCAGGACAATCGACAAGTGACAAGGGGAGATAACCAGTGGAGGAGTCAACAGCCCTCCAACTGTAAGAACCCAAGACCAGAATGCCAAACTGAATATTCGCCTTATTCATCACAACGTGCAGGAAGTCAAGCAGCTGATCCAGAGTGTTGGCGATGTGGACAGGGAGGCCATTACCAGTATTGATGCCGAGTGAGACTCGAGCACAGTCGTCGTGGGAGGACTTTAAACACATCAGGCCTATGGGCAGGGGACAGATTTCCTGTGGGAGTAGTTGGGAATACGAATGAGGTTGATTTATATATGAGAGATACACAGGTCAGATCATTGTTGGATACAGGAGCATCAGTATCTTTGGTGTCCAGGTGCCCTTCAGAGAAATATTGGATATCGAATGTGCTTAATACTAAGAGGCCACATTACCAAAGGAGTTAGATGTCCAAGAGTTTGTGCCCTTGGATTTGGACAGCCCCTATAATAATTGAGTATTACATCAGTTATCCTGGATTCATAGACGTGCACATTGCTAATGTTACCACGCGTTCTGTTGTGATACAACCGAGAGCAATTCCTTGTGAACTCCAACCAGTTACTTTACAACGTCCGCCCACTGGCAAGCCATATCAAGGAGTTGTGTTGACTTCAGACAGTTGAATCGTAGGACCATCAAGGATTCCTACGCTCTTCCCCGGATTGAAGAACTCTTGGATTGTCTCAGAGGGATGAAATATTTCAGTGTC